TGTCAGAGAATAAACTGGTGACCTGCAACTTCTCCTCGTCTCAGCTGTGAATCTCTTCTCATCCACGGACTCGGTGGAGACGGCTTACTCCAACACTTTACAGAACTGGTAAGATGACATTCATGAGAAAGTTGGCTGCGTATCTGAGTAGCCAGGCAAATGAGGTAAACACTGAGTGCAACACCCATGTCGGCCTGCTGTGTCGAGGCCTTACAGGCGTAGCAGGGAAATAACATTATTTCACACAGTGCTCACTCTATACTCATGGAGTACTCACACTGTATGCACAAAGTAAACACACTGCTTATTCAGTTAATGTATTGTTAATAGTGTAGTCGTTATTTTATATCACTACACAGGGTAGGTTCCCATCTTGAACCTGAGCTACAAGCTCAGCTCAGCCCCAATTTCAAGGTCAGCTGCTGTCATCATAAGATAGGGAGTCTGTTTTCCTGTGCTCTTCTCCATGAGTTGATCGGGGATACATATTCCCAGCCTCTGACATTATGAAATTCCTGCAGATCGAAAGTATCATAGATCAAGATGGAAGTCTTTTGAATAACTTCTAAATGTATTGTGGCCCTGGGTGGACCGAGCAGAGAGACATGGAGACTTGCTTGCTGGGGAAATCATGCTCTTTATTAACAGTCCTTAAAAGGACTACAACAGGCACCCAATGAGCACCGAACCGAATACACAAGTTAAATAGACCGGAGGAGAAATTAAGCACTAAGGAGCAGCGGTCCTCAGGACGGGTTCGTGTGAAGTGGATAATGATGCCATTGACCCACGTTGTGGATGAAGATTCTCATAGTTTGTGGAGAAAGATGTCAGACCTGTTTGGATGGTTCAGGTTCTTTGGAGAAATTTGCATCTGCTAATTTTGTCGGAGGAGGCAGCGAGGAGACCTACAAATTTATAACCCAAAAAGTAATTTTCTCCGTTGTTGTCATCAGGTTTACAGACATCCAATACAATGGATTTATATTCATTGTTCTGGTTTGTTGTTGGTGATGAACCCGTGAGGGAGAGAACACCAGCGGGTGTAGTCGGCCCTCTGCTTGGGTAAAACCCCCGATGTCTATGTGACAGACGAGTCCTCGGCCTACCTGGGCTGCGAGCAATGCCTGATGGCTTCCAGAATCACCATTCGATAGTGTAAGGATCAGTTCAGCTGCTCATTGCAGATAACCTATTACGTTTTTGATAGACTATCTGGTTGGCTTGACCATTAGCCTTGTATGCACACTCATTAGCACAATGTCTGTACATATTCATTGTATGTTTATTCTCCATGCTGAGAAGGCAGCCTTCATGGTAGAGCATAATTTGACCTCGTAGCTAGTGGACGAAGTCTAACGCATAAGCGGTTCTGGACGGTGTAACATGGGTCCGTTAGGGGAGCTGGGACTGTGAGCATGCTTCTTATTGTACAGGCAGGATGTGGTAGGCTGGAATGAATAAGCACAACTGGAGATCATGATCAGGAGAGATGGGAAGAACGTCTTTGTGAATGACTGGACCAGAGTGATATTGCTGCACACCCAGCATTCCCAACACACTCTGGCATCTTCTATTCCACTGGGAGCACCGCCGACGATGGTTTGGTTTGGACTGGGCACCAAAAACATTTTTTAAATGTGCCTATCTGAGTAACAGGATCACTGTTTTTAGTCAAATAGATGTTTTTTCTTCTGTAGTCAGGTTAAAATTCTTACTGTAATTATCTTTAGAAAACCTCATTTTCTTGACCATTTCTAAGTTCTTCTCCAAATGTAATTATGTGAGTTTCATCCCTTTATAAAAATTATTTTTCTGCGACACTTGCACCTTGCTGATTTGGAGTCAGGTGTGTCAGCACTGGACAGAGGCAGTCAGAGGAACAAACCTTTATTCTTTTCAGCAAATATGTTTTGCCTTATTCTAACAGACCTCAGGCACAAATCGGTAAACAAACAGCAAAAAAAAATAAAAAATCCAGAAATCTTTCAGAATTAAACACTCTAGACTTCAACAATACTTTCAAACAGTAAAGTGTCAACGTGTGTGTGTGTTTTTAAAGCTAAAAGCGCATAGAAATGAGGACACACAGCAGACATGCATAAAGTGAAGGACTACAACCATCAGAGATACCAGTGTAAACACGGCGTCACCACCTCCACCCCTCAGACAGTGCAGCTCTGGCCCCGTCTGCCTTTCTGCTTACTGTGCTGCCCACGGCGGCTCAGCCTCAGCAAAGCCCTGTAGTCGTGTCTTTACAGAGCTGCACTAGTGAGCATGGCGCTCTGTTTGAAGGCACAAAGCCAGAGCATCACCAGAATTCACAGCAAACCTAAATCCCCCCCCATCAGAATTATATGGGGAACGTAACACGATGCATAGGCACAGTCAAAATTACAGGTGGTCTAGTGCAAAACAGAAAAAGTTGAGCACCTGGCGCCCTCTACTGGATCGGAGGAGTGTTTCATGAATGCTCTTAAAGTGTTGCTGCAGAAATGTCCTGGGGCATAAAAAAAAATAAAAAATAAAAATCTATTTTTTATTTGCAGTAATGGCGCAACGGTCAAAAAGATGGGATTTTCATTAAATACTTGATTTGACATTTGCAGCCCCAGTTACATTTGCACCAGGTAGTACTGGGAATTAAGGCCGGCTGCATAATCCACTCAGGCGGAGGTAGTGGAGGGGGAAGGCAGAGTCGGTCCAACACCAGCCAATCTCCAGAAAAGGAGGAAATAGATCAACTATTACCACTGAAATCTGTGCAAAATTTTACAAGGATTTTTACACAACTTTAACAAACCATAAATACATCTTAACAGTTCCAGCAGAGTGTGATATAATGGTCAATTTCATATCTCTATAATAAAAAACTTGTTTTGTTTCTGAGTAGCGTGTTTCTGTTCAAACCTCCCCCAGGGCCACAATGAAGGCATTCAGGCAGCGAGACCCAGACAATCAGCCCCCCCGCCCTCGCAAAGTCCTTTAAAAAGACGGAGCAGCCGGACAATCTCTGAAATTTATTTTCCGGGGATGAATACTTTGAATCCAAATATGAAAAAAAAAAAAAATGCGATCCGACTAAAATTAGTCTTTGGCTTTAAATATCCAAATTTTATTTAATTTAATAGAAGCACAGACTGGGATAGGCTTTCCAAGCAGGTTCCCTCCCCCCACCCCGTATTCGGACCTCTGGAGCTAAGAGAACATTCTGGTATATAGCAACAACTGCTCCACACCTGAAACGAGAAGCTCCAAGCTGGAATAAAATGAAAAATCCCAGAACCAAAAGCATAAAAAAAAAAAAAAAAAAAAACACACACAACAAAAATCTATCGTGGACTTGGAAACCCCACAGAGCTTCAGGGGTTGGTGTAGGTGAGGTGCCGCTGGCCGTCGCCGCTGTAGCCCCCCTCTCTACCGCCGTGATACTGGCTATAAGCCCTGCCTCTGCCACGACTCTGTCCCTTATCGTTGGCAGTGGGGTAGGTCTCCCCTGGCCTTCTCTCCTTGTATCCGTACTCCCGCCGGCTATCCAGGGCTCGCCGACCGCGGTACGCTCCCCTGCCCCTCCAGCCCCTCTCCCTGCCGTAGCCTTGGCTGTCATCATAGCCTCTCCGCCCCCTGTAGTGGGTGCCGTAATAGGACCTGCCGTTCCTCAGAGCTAGCCCGTCGGCGTCACCCTCCTCCCTGCGAGGGTACACTGCGACGTAGGCCGACCTTGCGCTCCCTTGGGGACTCTCTGCCGTGGCTCCTGGCACGCAGTCACCCCCCGGTCCAAGGATGACCTCTCCCAGGGCACGGTCCTTCTCAGGCACGGCTGAGTCAGGTGTCGCCTGAGAAACCGCCTGGTCAGGCTCTCTGGCCACGTGACCCTCGCGTGACAGGACTGGATCCGCCAGAACGCTGGCCTGTGAAGACACGTCCGCAGCCGGTGAGGCAGTCTGCTCCATGGACTGCTCCATCCCAGAAGCTGGTGTGGAGGTGCCGGTCCCATCGGTGCCTGACTGATTGGCAAACTTGGACATAGGAGGCTCGGCAGTGCTGGCCAGCTCAGTTCTGCTTGGGTTGGCGCTGGGCAACCTCTGAACGGGGTATCCTTGCAAGATGGTCGGGTATGGAGGGGAGGCCAGGAACTGAGGGTGGAACTGCGGGGTGGGCGCTGCGTATACAGCCTGGCGGGACCAAGAGACACTCCCCATGCGGGGGGGCAGCTGGAGGGCGGACTGTGGGCTATACCCCAGGGCCGGCCGGCCCTCCGAGCCCAGGCAGAGGTCCGAGTGCCTGGGAGGTGGCACCTCCACGCCCAGGCCGGCCCCAGGGTGAACGGGGCAGTGCAGCGGCTCCCCCGGGCCTAACGACCTGCCGCCGGCCTGGCTGAAAGGCACCTGGCTGTAGGCCTCCTGCACAGAGTTCATGTGGAGGACAGGGGCCGGGGCATCCGCCATCCAGGGCGTCACGTAAGAAGACTGTGGCAGCGGCGGGGGCTTGGGCTGCATGGCACAGGCATTCATGTAGGCTTGGTACAGGGGGTATATGTAGGAATGGGGCATCCACATGGGGTATGTATACGCCTGTAGGGGGCGCAAAGGAGGGAAAGTATCTATCAGCAAAACTCATCTCTAAGGGACAGCCGATAGGGGCCTTTCCCTGGATTAAGACCACCTCCATCATACAACAGGCCTTTCCATCATTTTCCTGACACATAACCCATGCAGTCACCAAACTCTAATCCCAAACGGGACATGTTAGGCTGTTACAGCTGGTCACATCCCCAAATGGGTATCCTCCTGCAAACCTGTAACTTTGCCCCAACAACGCAAATCTTAAATTAACAAACATGCATCACAGTGATACCAGCCTGCAGACACTGGATTTTTTTTATTTATTTTTTTTAATTTTATTTTATTTTTTTGTCAGAATAACAGCCGGAAAGTTCTCCTGCATAGCCTGAACATACAACGGATCTAAGCATCGTCTGTTGGCTGTAACAAAATATATCCTCATAAATTCTTACCTTGATGCCAAGATTGTAGAAAAATCTGAGGATGTTTGTGTCTACAAATAAAAAGCATAGGTCAAAAAAAAAAAAAACAAAACAAAAACATACATATTAAAAAATGACAACCTCATAGAGCCCTGGAGTGCTCTCACCTCTGGGAAGATCGTCTCCGTTGCACATTAAGGAAAACGGCGGAATCATTTCAATTTCTTCCTTCTCGTTCACAGGGAAGCCAGGGTACAGGGGGTCCTGGTAAGGGGACGGGAACTGGTGCAGGGGGGGTATGGGGGGCTGAGCTATGGGCCCGTGAGCAGCAGACGAGTGGGGACCATGGGGGTGAGGCAGCTGTTCGGGCAGCAGGGGTATCGTGGTTGGTCCTGGGGAGATCCTCACCTGTGACATCACACCTGCCAAGAGGAAGTCAGGATTGGAGAAGCCTGGCAGATACCTCCAGAGTGGATTCTTATAGTAAATTAAAGAATCAATGCAATGGATCTTACCCAGAGGACAGCTAGTGGCTACCTCATACGGTGGGGGCTCCAGAGGTAGGGATGAAAACCCAGAAGGAGGCACTGGCCCCTTCTGAGGTGGAGGAGTAGGAATTACGCAAGGTGGAAGCGGGATTTGAGATGGTGGAGTAGAAGGCGGCGGAAGGAAAGCCACCTGCGACGGGCCGTGGGTTTGGGGTGGCTGAACAAGAACTGAGCCAAAGGTAGTGTGAGCTTTGGAGGATTGACTGATACCGGGGGTGCCAAGACCAAGAGCTTGAGATGGTTGAGCTGGAGGAGAAGTGGAGATGAGACCAGAAGCTTGAGATGGCTGCGTGGGAGCAGAGGTGGAGATGAGTTCAAGGGCTGGAGAAGGTTGAGTGGGAACAAGACTTGGAGCTTGAGATGGCTGATTGGTAGTGGAGGTGGCATCAAGAACCGGAGCTTGAGATGGTTGAATGGGGGCAGAGGTGGAGATGAGACAAGGACCTTGAGATAGTTGAGTAGGAGCAGCGGTGGAAACAAGATCAGTGACTGGAGATGGCCGAGTAGCAGCAGAGGTAGAGACAAGACTAGGAGCTTGAAATGACTGAGTGGGAGCAGAAGTGGAGATGAGACCAGAAGACGGAGAAGTCAGTACAGGAGCACGAGATGCTGGACCAGGAGCTTGATATAACTGGTTCAGAGAAGCCGTGGGAGGTCTTGTGCCTTGGGTCGTTTGAGTGGGAGCAGGGGTTGCTGGACTAGGAGCTTGAGATGGTTGAGAAGAAGGGGTGACAGGCCCAGTAGACTGGGATGTTTGAGAGGTGGGAGTAGATGGAGCAGGAGCTGGAGATTGGTCAGAAGCAGAAATGGGACTCTGCAGCTTCGGAGAAGAATTAGATTGTGCTGAAGCCTGGAAGAGATCCAAATATACAAGTTGAGATTTGTCATTCGAAGGGTCACTGCAGGTGCTCGAGTGTACATGTTATACATCACAGAAAAACCGCCTCTCACCATGCCCTTGATCTTCTCCCCTTTCATTCCAGTTTTAGGTGAGAGAGATTTCCTTTCTGTATTAAGACAAATGTAATTGGACTTTAAAAATGTAAGGGCAAAATGTATACCATGCATCTTCTGAGAGTTTATCATGGAGATGAGCGAGAACGGCCCCCTCACCACTCTCCCAGGACTGCTCTTGCAGGTCTCCCTTCTTCCTGGACCCACGTCGGTCTCCAGGATGTGATCCTGCCCTCTTCCCACTCTCACCCAGTTGGGCTCCCACCTTCTTCCCATGGCCGTTGGCATTTGCGGCAGTCTGAGGAAGAGGGAGTTTCTCAATATGCGTACTTGACCGCACTTGTGTTCTCAAATGCCCATTTTAAGTAATCTTCCATTGCCGCATACCAGTACCAATAGTCAAGAACAGAAATACAGAGGACGGCAAAAATCCCCAGAAGTCATTCTTGCCCTTCCCCAAATATCAAAGGTACATCTACTGCATCCTTGCCAACCAAGACAAACCCAGTGATTCATTGTACACCAAGTTCATTCTTGGGAGACAAGTTAGCAAGAATGATCTTGCAAACACCACAAGTACAATCTTTACGTTCTTTTCTCTGAGTCTAGCTTTGAGTGTGGAAAACCAAGGTGCACTCAGGCTTTGGAATGGCCAACTACAGCAGAACCCAGGGTTTAACTCGACCTCCCTGCAAAGTAGCGCAATGAGGACAGCCCAATCTATTCGTTAGATTACTGATAAAAGCACCGAAACGGGGAAGACCTGCGGGTCACCCAAAAATGCGGTTTGCCTCTCAGTGTAAACGTCAGCTGTGACTTACTCCCAGGGCTGGGAAGCTTTTCTCGTCTCTCTGCATTATCTCCAGGAGGGCCTGCTCCTCAGACAGAGCCCCAGAGTGAGCATCCTGTGGTGGGGCAGCTGTGGTTCTGAGGTCACCCTTCCTGGAACGATAGCACCAACAAATGATGAAGACATGGGCCCAGTCAAGATTCCGGGGCAAGCCTACCCCTGACTGCTATACCACACATGGGAATCAACTGACCAAGAGACAGTCTTTGCTTAAACGGCATGTATATGAAGAAGCATATCATTGGGTTTCTTTAAAAAAGGTTCGGATCGAATAACAGAGGAATTAGTGTACGGCCCCAATATGCGATAAGTGGACAGTGAACTAGTGCAAACAGACCCACACATTTTATGTCTAATACAAGAATCCAGTCTACTATTGTTTCTTTGAAGACTTGAAGTAAATACACTCATTACTTCATCATGTATCAATGCCGGACTTTCATTAATATCATTCCCTTTGTTTGCGGTACCCTTGCATGCCAATTTTGATCCTGGCCACAGCTCTTGTACTTCAGAGGTACAGTGCTACCCAGTGAAGCTGGGCTGTGCTCTGATGTGAATGAAAGGGACAGAAAATGCAAGATTGTATTTATACTCCCAAAAAGATCGTCGTCCTGCATTTTGGTGAACAGGAGTCAGACAGAAGAGGGGCACACCTGGGGTGAGAGGTCCTGCTGGAAGGCGGCTCCTCTGCTACCACCTGCGAGGGCCAGGAGTCTTGCTTCTGAATCCTGCCCTGCGCAGGCGTCCGGGCTGCAGGCGACGGAGCTTTCGCTGACCTCCTCGTTCTGGACTCCCACTCTGGACGGGATTTGGAAAACGTCAACGCAAGAGCGGCAAAACCTCCTGGACTGGGACGCGACCCGGACGTAGCTCCTCACCGGATCGGTGGCCATTCCCATCGAGAAAGGTCTGCTTCCTCCCCTTTTCCGCCACGGTGCTCCACGTCAACGCCTCATCCGTAGAGGGTCGCAGGTTACACAGAGGGACACTGTGCCTGTCCAGTCACAAAGGGGTGCCATCTTTTACATGTGCAACAGTAATCCATCCTTGACATTCGCTTATTGAAATCAGACCAAACAGGGTTACACTAGTGCTCCTTAGTGCTGCAAAGCAAACCGTCCTCTATTTGAGTGAAAAACCATCAGGCTGCAGTTCTGCAGTGTCACTACAAAGCGTCACGTGACTCGCAGCAAACTACTGCAGTGGAATGTTCATGTGTCAGAACACGACTTACTTCTTCCCGAGCTCTTCAATGAACACCATGACGGGGCCGTTGTTCGGGGATACCTCCTGAACGTACGCACTGTAGAACCGCCCCGAATTCTCCAGCCGCGCCTGAATTGACAAATACACCATATTCAAAAGAGAGAGAGGTCCCGCCCGGAAAGGTATGACTAAAGCATATGTCCTTCTGTCAGACAGGGGACAACCATACCTTGCATTTATCTCCGACAGTGTACTGCATTCCTGCAGCGATGCGGAAGTCGCGTTTTTGCTGGGCTATGGAAATAAAGATTCGTTTTAAGGCCACCTGAACGGCATCTCAAACTTTGGCAAGGAGCGAGGAATGCAGGGCGTGCCGATAACGAGCGGGGTAGTGGCGTTTACCTCTCTGAGACCTCAGCCACACGTCATAGGCCACATTTCGGAATACGAACGGGCACAGGGACTTCCGCACACTCTGGGACAAAGCCGGAGGAATGTTCGATTTGGCCGGTGTCTAATGCAGACAGAAGCAAAGCTCTTGAGAGAACAGCAGCTTTCACAGACAAAGCCCCAAGCCTACCAACCTCTACATTAAATCGCTCAAGTATGCTAAGAAATACCTGCAAAAACACCCGCCACCGGACTCCTGTATACATAAGCTACAGATCTATCCCAGAAAACCGTTGTATCGTGAAATATCAAATCCCAAAGCGTCCGAGTGAAACAGAACGAAGCACATTAACGCGACACAGCTTCATTCAGCTTTTCACATGAAAAACAGGCTGATGTCAACACACTAACCTGTACTTTAGGAGTGCCAGTGCTGTTCGTAGATCTGAGGTTGTTAACGCTTGAGTAATCGGTCAACTCCCTGGACCTGTCCAGGAAAGACATTTACTTTAATTCAATGCCAAATCAAAGATCAAAATCCAGAAAAAGAAAAGTCAAAACCATTTCAATGAGGGGAAAAAGTACGCAAAGTAACCTCATGTTTCCTGTAAAATAAAACTATGTTTAAAACACTACAGGACCCAACTGAGGAAAAAGAGCTAGCTGGATAGTGCTTACATTCACGATGAACGATATTTATTTGGGCACATATGGAGCCCCTCGATAACTCTCAACACCTTTCACGACAAGAACCTGCCCCTTACTGAGTTGGCATGGCAACACGCCCACAAAGCAACTTCCAGAAACTCCCTTACTTTCTAACTGTCTGCCCTGGGGATTTAGAATATCCCGCTGGCTATGCGAATTCCTGCTACACCAGGTCCAAAGGTCATTAACTGGATGCATGACACTCGGGAGGGTACAGACCAAACACTTTAATGGGCAATACAAACGGGGAGGAACCGCGAAGCAAGAATTACTCCTAAAGTTAACTATTTAATAGACTTAATATGCAATATAAAATGCACACTAGTATTAATATACTTTATTTCTGAAAGCTAAATTTCTTTTATAACACACACTAGCTAACAATAAAGAGTCCAACATTTACCACCTAGAACACTCGCTGCTTTAGATTACGGGTTCCCAAACTTGTTTTGGGGGGGGGGCAGATTTACATGGTGAATGACACTTACTGAAATTTAGTATTTTTTTTTTATTATTTCTGAAATTAATCTTGTGGCAAATCTTTGGATCTGCAGAGTGCGGTTCACAGGGGCTAACGCCGCAGGACCCAGTTTCCATTTTACCAACTTCCTGTAATGCACAAGCTGGCGTCTGACTGGACACCGGCATGAAGCGGCCCAGTAGCCTTACCCGAGAGCGCTGTCCTCGTCGAGGTCCGATTCCTCACTGCTCCGACACTCCCCGCCTACGTCACGGCCGGTAACAGCACAGCCTTTTAAACAGGCGTCCACCTGGTCGTCATCCATGCTGCACACCTTCTTATAGAGCAGCTCGTACAGGATGGCTGGAAAGAGAGACAGTGCAAGACTGAGGCATCAGGGTGACAACAATAAAAGACTTTCAAAGAAAACTCCAAAACATTTCATAGGTCACTGACAGGAACATGCATGCTCATGTTTTAAAAAACAGCATCACTGCCTCCATATATGTCCTACTCGGTAAAACCCAATGAGTGGTCTTGTCTGCCAAAGAGCAATTCACAAATTCAAAGCAGTGTCCTTAGCATCCTGTCATTAGGCACAGTGACACATTTTGTTCAGCCAGACGAGTGAGTGGGGAGGTGGTATTCTCAAAACTGCATTAGCACACTTACACTGGCAGAGTGCGGCGTTGCTCTCGAACTCTTTCGGATACACGCTATCATAATGGTTCCCGTTTAGAAAGCAGAGCCGAACCTTAATACAGACACAAAGACAGGGGACAAAAGCGTGTTGGTTCACAGCGATGGCCGACCACGTCACAGCTAGGCATGGGTGTACGTGCTCTCATAACCTCACCAATACACTGACAGCTGAGAAATAATTCCACTACTAAAATGTCATCTCAGACTCTGTAAAGCACACTGGGTTATAATGTATCGCAGACTCTGTCAAGCACACTGAGTTATAATGTATCGCAGACTCTGTCAAGCACACTGAGTTATAATGTATCGCAGACTGTCAAGCACACTGGGTTATAATGTATCGCAGACTCTGTCAAGCACACTGGGTTCCTTTTACCTGGTCAGGGAAACCATTCTCAGTTATATGTACAGGTGGTTTCCCAGGTTCCTGAAAAATGATGAAGTCATGCCTATAACAGGGAAAACAGGAACTATTACATCATCACTGGACCTTAAAGGGTCTATCACTACAGAAATATATAATTCACTAAGAAGATCTAATTAACATCTAGCAAAACAGTGATAACAGAAATATCTGCATTTACTACAGGAAAATATAATACAAACTACCACTCTTACTTGTAGATAAGAGCCAGGGCACTAATCTCTACTTCTCCAACCCAGTTCTGTAAAAATAAAACCATTATTAGGCTGACCACTAACATTCGGTTAGCCACAGTGAGACACCAGCATCAGATCAGGTTATGGAAATAAGCTTTCAGCAGTCCTTTTCAGCCCAACCAACATACAACAGATGCATTAAAGGCGAAAGTAAAACACATTCCCAGATGTCAAAGAGCAACTAGCAAAATGGCAGAAGCAGCACTACCACTGGGCAAAGGACACCAATAAACAGGGACCCCCTCAGGCACCTACCTGTGGATCCTGAAGGTGCTCCAAATATTCCGCGAAGTTCCCCTCGACAAACTGCAAGCCACATAATGAGAGAAAACGGATTGTTACGTCAGGGGCCGAGGGTGGGGGTCCATCATCATGCAGAGCGTCTTGATGAGACCCACGTGACGGCAGCCCTACATACCGCCTCGTACTTCGTCCTGTTCTTCCTCAGATAATTGACGCAGGCGGCTCGCACTTCGGTGTGCCGGCTTTGGCAATACAGGACCTGCATAGGCATGGGGAGAAGAGAGAGACGCTCGCTTTATAAGGGGCAACGGCCGGCTGCCTCGCGCCGCGCCGCCCCGCCGGCCCGCGCTACGCGGCTGCGGAGGAGCTGGGCCGGGCGCACGTGCTGCAGCGCGAGGCATCCGGCCGCCTAGTTCAGCCACGAAACCAGCAAGTTTTCCGCACACAAACCACACCTGCTCCGCCACGGCTCGGAACAAACAGGAGCCGTCTTTGGCGATTTTCTTTCGGTAGAAGCCCTTCGACTCCAGATACTCGTCCATTAACTTCTCCAGCGCCTGCCCGTCTTGCGAGCCCGCTTCCATGGCTAATCCTGCTCAAGTTTTCCCACCGCTCTCTTCCCCTTCGTCCGCGTCTCTCTCTCCGTCTCCGACGCCCTCCTCACACTCCAGGATTCAGTGTCGCCTTGTCTGTTCACGAATCCAGGAAATAAAGTCCCGATTCCACGTCGGTTTCGTTTTCACAGAAACATCAGCTGCGAAGCAACTTTACAGCGGCCGTGAGCAGGCAGCCGGCTGGACATCCTCTCATCGGAAGGCGACTTCAGGCTCTACCGTACGAGTGCCAAAACTAACTAAACCCCGATTTTCACCACTTATCTCTCCGATGTGCGACACGGTAAACTGTGGACGATCCGTTTCATAACACAGTCCCGGTACCGCGCTCCTCCGAGGACTTTTGACAGCAGTTTCGCAGTAGAGAAACTGGCTGCCCAGTTGAACGCTGGAACTTGTAGTCCAGCGAGGCTCTCCGGTATCACTGGAAAATTAAACTACAAATCCCAGCATGACTCACACAGGCCGGCAGCTGCCAATGTGCGCCTGTGGGGATGCGTTTTAATGTGATTCATCCCTGTCTTATTTCATGGGGACGGTGCAGATCAAACAGTACTACCGGCTCTACAGGTTTTTTGTGTATTTCCCCCCAAACTGTTGATTTATTAAAGCCATAGTTTTGTACAGAAAAGTAAGAGACTTTGCAATAGTGAATTATTTACCATTTGGGCCACCGTCATTTCAGGCGCAAATTAATACTGGTAAAGTGATAAGGTGTTATTTTTATGTATAAACTATGATATAAATAAACTAGCGGAGGCCCGAGACCTACAATTCTCCTGTTCCATTGTTCAAGAGGCGATCCGGTCCTTTAGTGTATATGGGGCAAAGAAAGACAAAGATAAACATTTGTAGCAACATTTTATGACAGATGTGCATGATGATTATTTCGTTTAGCCATATCTGGGACTAAAGCGTTATGTGAGATGTAGTGCGTTTTAATGGTTTATTTTTCTGATTTTGATGTGGTACGTAATTTTATAGATGGTAGATGGGTTATATGTAAAAGGAACATCGGTCTGTTCCCACATAATAATGGAGTTGGACTTCCACCAGCAGTGGTCCGTTGGGTTGTGTACAAGTGTGATGATTTTAGCCGGATTTTCACCTTGTGGGAGTATTTCTCAGTTAGCTGGGTTAATTTAAGATAAAAGTCACGATTGTCCCTTAGGAGTTTAGGTAAGGAGCATTTCTATTGGACAAACATGACTTCTAGCATAAGTTATCCTAGTTGAGAAATCCTGCATCGTGTAACACCCCCTGTACATCCTGGTTGTTGATAAAGAATTGACTTTATGAAAGAACGATTTAAGGCTAGAGCCCTAAACATTTTTGAGTTTCCCCTCATTTAACACACCCGTTTAACATAATGTTTTTTTTTATTCTGTGGTTGTGCTTGTTTAAAAATACTAAAAATCCAAGTTTAATTATTTAATATTATGGAGATTCTGTGAGATGAACTTGAATCATGGATTCGCATAGTGAACAATGAATATACAACAGGTGGTCTTCCATCTTAATGAATGAAATCACAAGTAACCAATGGGTGTGATAGAACCATATATGAAGGGCTATTAATGGGGGAAAAAAGGCATGGGACAAAACAATGTGACCGAAGGTGGCTTCGCTTTGTCACTTTAACTGAACGGAAATCAAGTTAGAAAATCCTCTGTCATCAATCTTGCAACTGGAAACCAGCTGAGGGAGGATGGCCTTTTGTCTCCCTCTGCTGGACGGAAGCAGCATAGTACAGGGTAATGATCGGAATTTTCTTGAAGAATAGTATTATGTAAATGATTAATTCTCGATTTTATAAATTGTAGAAATGTCAGTACAATATATAAGTCATGTCATTCTGAGACTATATGGAAATTAAATTCTGCCTTTAGTGGTAATTCAAGAAGAATTTTTCAGGATTTGGTGGCTGAGGGTGTATCCCACATCTGCTCTGTGCGGAGATGCCATGTTCTCCTCCAGTTCAAAGACATGTAGTTAGGGCTCCTGGCATTTCTGAATTGTCTGTAATGTATAATTGTGTGTATATGTGCTCTGTGCTGGACCAGCAGCCCGCCCAGGGTGTACCCCGGCCCCGTGCCCCGTGATGGACCGGCATCCCGCCCAGGGTGTACCCCAGCCCCGTACCCTGTGATGGACCTGCATCCCGCCCAGGGTGTACCCCAGCCCCGCGCCCCGTGATGGACCGGCATCCCGCCCAGGGTGTACCCCAGCCCCGCGCCCCGTGATGGACTGGCATCCCGTCCAGGGTGTACCCCAGCCACGTGCCCTGTGATGGACCGGCATCCCGTCCAGGGTGTACCCCAGCCCCGCGCCCTGTGATGGACTGGCATCCCGTCCAGGGTGTACCCCGGCCCCGTGCCCTGTGCAGTAATTTCCAATTCAGTAAATTTTTCAGGGAGTTAAATACTGAATTATCTGGTTGAAATGGAGATTAAGTTGCAATGTTTGTACTTTTGACGGTACAATCACTGCGGCTGTACCCTCAAGGGTCTGCTGTAGGTAAATGTACATTTTAAGGTACAGAAATGGACTCTGAGGAACATTTTGTACCATTGGGGGTACAGTAATGTGGTTTGTACGTTGGGGAACAAACCCATAGCAGGGCTGTAACCTTCAGTTTTCACGGAATTATAGGGCTGTTGTTGAGGAATCTGGGGAGGCTTCCCAGTGATGACCCTGTCGCCCTGCTGTATGAGGAGCATCCCTGTGTCCATCCCAACAACAAATATACTGAGGTGAGAAATCTGTCAGGCATGTGCCGTGAAAACCCAAGGGGCCGAAAGGCTGAGCTTTTACTTGGATTCAGTTTCAGCCCCCAGCTGAGGGTGGCCGGGTAACACCTGCTCCTTTAAGCCAGTCACATTCATGATACATCGTTCTTTTATGTGTACGTTTTTAACTTGCACATGTGCAGGGACTTCAGGCCAGGAGGTGACTTGCTTTGTCTGGATAGTTACTGCAAGCAAGGTCTGTGTTTATGCTGAGATCAGAAACTGGCGCTCCGTAACACGTTCCGCCCATCGTTGTCCAGAGAGGGTGGGTAGCCCGTTAGCAGAGGGCGGGTAGCCCGTTAGCAGAGGGCGGGTAGCCCGTTAGCAGTGGGTAAGTAGCCCATTAGCAGAGGGTAAGTAGCCCATTAGCAGAGGGTGGGTAGCCCATTAGCAGAGGGCGGGTAGCCCGTTAGCAGAGGGCGGGTAGCCCGTTAGCAGAGGGTAAGTAGCCCATTAGCAGAGGGTAAGAAGCCCATTAGCAGAGGGCAGGTAGCCCGTTAGCAGAGGGTAAGTAGCCCGTTAGCAGAGGGTAAGTAGCCCGTTAGCACATCGTATTTAGCCACTATAATAAATAATGTTGGCAGGGTTGAGCTCTGTAAGGTGTTTGTGTCATTTCCCATTACTAGGAAGGTATTTATATATTTAAAGAGTCAGGTTAACTTCACAGCTGGTTTGTATTGTGTGTGTGTGTGTGTGTGTGTGGGGGGGGGGACTTCATTCTATAGGCTTTCATAGTGAGAAAAAATGGCTGTGTGAAGTTGATTGTATTGTGGAATAAGTACCTCGGCTTCCTCCTTATCCTGCTGGGCATGAAGGGGTCTGTGCTGGTTTTCTGCTGGGTTCAACTTCTGTTAAGCTGCTCTTTCTGTATAAATTTTAAATGTGAGAGTGTGAAGGACTTGGCTAATGATGTTTCTGGGTTGAGGCGTCCCTGTGTGCCTCACTGCTGGCTCTGAAGCTGAACCTGCTCCACATCCCCTCCGAACGCAGCCGCTCCTCTCAGCTTCCTGAAGGACTCAGTCCAGCTCGTTAAGATTCACTCCATCCTTTTTGCATACAGTGTTTCTCAAAAAAAAAGCGAAAGGAGCAGAGTAAGGACGGCGCCATGGGCATGCACTGGCCCGTGTTTAACGCCGTCACTGTGTCGGTGTTAATAACCCAGAGCACCTTCATCTAGACCGTCATCAACAAACTGAAAGTAAACTGTATTTACCATTTGCACAACTCTGAGTACAGGCACCTTGGAATTCTTTAATTTTCACATAATCGATCTTCTCTCCTTTGAGTCACACTCACATGCACAGTGGGTGGGAATGCAGGGTCAGACATAGCGCCGAAGCCCCTTGAGCCTTTCAGGGGGGTTAAGGGCCTTGCTCAAGGGCTCATTGAGCATGTGACTATTCTGTGAGGAATCACAGGTTATTGTACTGAAACGGGCCCCTTAAACCAGAGACGCACAATGATCAGCATTATGAAGGAGTCGCTATGGTGATGTGCGTCCTCGTCACAGGGTGGGAGTAAGACTGCCGTCTGGTCCCGGTATCATGGCCACAGCAGCTGGGATCTGGGATGTTTGTTTATTATTGCCGAGCCTGGGGGGGGGGGGGAGGTGGGGTGGGGGGCTGGATTTAAAGCTCAAAACTCACCATTCTGCAGTGCTGCATCACACAAACACGCAACAAGGCAATTACCTCCCCCAGGGAAAAGCCCCCATAAAGGTGTTTCCTCTGAAAAATCCCAACCGTGCTCTTCCACTGCCCCAGCCCCCCCCCCCCCCCTGAGATCCCATGCTTTTAAAATCAGCTGCTGCTCTTGGAATGCTGGGTTATATATAGGCCCAGTGCTTTCAGCCTTCCTGGTGCTGCGGCCCGGCCCGACGAGGCGAGCGGCTCTGGCTGCTGTTTTTAGGCGACCTCGCAGATGAACACTGTCTGAACATGTGACACCGCTCTAGGCCAGACTGGCTACACCACTTGACGGTGCTCTGGGATATGCCCCGCACTTCCTGAGCAGGGTGTCTGACGGCAAAGGGCGTACATGGTCATGTCCCCAGGAAGAGTGAGGGGACAGCAGGGCGAGGGCTGATGTCTCTGGGGGCCCTGGGCTGACATGGCTGTAATTAGAGGGGATTAAAAACGGCACAATGTCAATAATCTGCTGCCAACCGCGGAGGGTTGATTGATGTCATAAAATTTTGCTAATGGGAGGTGGTCCTGATGGTAAATTTGCCAATTGGGGAAATTTAATAATTTTACTTTATACTTTATTAATAATAGTTTTTCCTGAGATGGCCACTGTTTTGCGGGGTGTGGCCCCTGATTTTCCTGGGGCCCTAGGCTGTAACCTAGGATAGTCTCTGCATTAATTGGCTCCTGGAACACAGGGTTAGGTGCATCATACACATGACTGCATACCTTCTCCTTACCTGTAGGTGGTGCTCACTTATGTGGTAGATCATCCTGTGTGTGTTCAGTGCTTTTGGTGAGACGTCTCCATTTCCAGCTGTGAGGTTTTTGACCCAGAATGTCCCAGCCAGAGGGGGGCGCTGTTGTTTTAGCTAAAAGGGCAGGCTGACCCAAGCTCAGTGCTTAAATGCTGCTGTGCTCGTGTTCCCTCGTGTTCTAGGGGAAGGCGACCAGGCGGAGAAGTGGACCGAGAAGCCATGGGTATCCTGGTGCGAGAGCTGAAGAAGAGGAAATGCTCCAGTGGGAGTGGGGGTCGAGACCCGGCCGGCCGGCACCACAAGCTCCAGGCCCTGGACGAGTGTGAGGGCGTCTTCTGGAGCAAACGGAGGGAGGGCCAGGGACAGCCTCATGCTTGCCCTTTCTGTTGAGGAGAAGTGTTTCAGGCAGCTTTCATAGGAGGCTGCGCCAATCATGTCAGATCATGCTG